CCCTCTGTGTGAGGGGTCATATACATGTACGTGGACCAGACCGAGAATAGCTTAAACACCCCAAAGGTCAACGGTCGCGACCACTTTCACGCTCAAAGGGGTGTTTTGGGGCCACCAAAAGGCACCATTTTCACGCCCGTAAACACATATACAATAAAAAACAAAAGAACGTGCATCATCTGCAGCTCAATAGCAAAACATATACCGAGTCTCAAAAGAACCCGTCCACCCAAATGCGAGAAACAGCTGCGAACATGAAAATCTAAATCTCTCACAAAACCCTTCCGCGGAAGGATGTCTCCTCCCCCGGAGGTAATAAATAGGCACATCTTTTTCAATGATACCTATACCAAGTTGTGGATATGCATTACAAACTACACTACTGGTAGGGCACTTGTGCTTTTAATTTTCAAAACTATTCTTGACAGGAAAGTTTACTTTGCAATCCGCCTAAGCCCTCAGTAGAGTTTGTCTGGCCCAGTGCCAATCTACAACATTAATCTGCAAAGACATGGCGGTAATATGCCTTCACTTACAATATACCAGCTGTGCAAAAAGGAAACGCCCGTGGAGAGCTCAGCTTGTGCCCTGGAGATTCCAGCTGTATAATGGATTTGGCTGCTGCCTTAATATGAGTTCGTTTGAAGGCATTGAAGTGGACTCAGGGAAACTTGGGGGGTGCTTTCCATTATCCTGCTGGCAAAATATATAGCGCGAACTTGCATAAAATCAAGTGATTTAAACGGCAGCCAAGCGAATACGGGAAAGGTGGACCTAATAAAATCTATCAGTTTCTTTATAAGGACAACTGGTAGCTTGCTGGCAAGTTGCACAGCAGTAATTTACATTATATTAGTGTGATAAAGGCACGCACTAACTTTCCTCCCGAAGGGCGGTTTTAAATACACCAGGTGTAAGCAGCACACGTCCGTTCAGTTAGACGTAATTTTCCACTCAACCGTATAATCTTTTTCTTCATAAATGGATGGAAAGTATAATTGTGTACGTGGTGTGCACATTTTCCTTCTTCATCAAAAAGGAACTTGAATTCTAATACTGAAAGCCAGCTGCCGTCGTTTACGGCATAAATTGAGATTACAGCCTATGATTACACAAAGACTAATGATACAAATCTTAATGCCGTGCTTATTGTAGCTTAAAGTGGCTTAGAAATTGCAAATCAGCCTAACTTAATTGTTTTAAGCTGTATCTGCATGATGTTGTAATCAAGGAAAACCTTAAAAGGCGAAGTCAGAGGGCACCTGCAGCTTGAATCACAGTCTTTATACCCGAGGTCTTGTTACAAGTCCATCCTGTAGCTGCGGGTGTCCATATGAAACGGTTGCTCATTATCTATTGCACTGCCCTATATACACCTACCAACGCTTAGTCCTTTTTGGCAAGCTTTCAAGTATACTTGGTAATATTGTTGATTTAAACACCCTTTCTGATAGTTCTATACAATATTTAGTTCTTCGCGGTAGTTTCCTTTGTTCGTATGATACCAACTGTAAAATAATGTTAGCCGCACAAAATTATATATTACTAGAAACAAAAAGATTCTAACTGTATGTCTTCTGGGATGGGAGGTTTGTTACTCACGCGAGGTCTCATTTATTTTTAAATGTCTTGTAAAATATTTTTCTTTCATTGTAAAAGTGGCTGCGAGAATATAAGTTGTACCTAACTTGAGTTCGCAGCCACTTAGTCCATGTCTTTTCATTTGTAATCATCATTGTGTTTCTGAATTAAAAAAAAACGTTTAATGCTCACACTACGCCAAATTCATTCTTCTTAACGCAAAAGTGCGACGTCGCTGATGGAAAACGGTTTCTTGTATCGTAGGTTGGTTCTAGCTATTTATGGGTGGTGTCCCAAAAATAAAGAGACTCCTTACGTAGCTGATGATGACGAAAATGTTCTACGACATGACAGTAAATTTCAATATAAAGAGGATTTTCTCATCCAGAATATTTTATTTTTGTTTTGCCGCTCTGAAACTGCATTGAATGTAAAATGTTCGGTCGCACTTCCATACTTCAGTCCATAAATCCATCCAGGCAACCATTGCCATCAACCGTGACAGAGAATTCGCAGACTCCGTCCGTTAATAAAGGGTTCATGCACTGCCCCGAGTTGTATATGGTGTCATAACTGCATGAGCAGCTGCCATAACCACCGAATAAACCACCGTGTGAGCGAAGCGAACGAGGTGGTTTATGAGGTGGTTATGGCAGCTGCCCATGCAGTTATGACACCATATACAACGAGGAAAAGGCAGTGCATTAAAATTATTATCATATAGCCTATCCAAACTGTCAATCAACACAATTCCTGTTTGAAATACAACAGCTTTAATATATATACATGCATAAAAATACATTCGAATATATTATACGCTTTAAAACAAATATGGATAATTTCATTTAATGCAAATTGTAGTTTAAATGAAGCTAAACAAAAAGTTTATTGGACAGAAAAATGCTACAAAGGTTTACAGAAAGAGTCGCATGCCCCTATACCCTATAACATAATGGTATCAGCCATAACACGACATGTGCTGTTATTCCGCCATAACACCACATGTGCTGTTATCGGGAAATAACAGCACGGGTATCCGGGCCTCTGATTGGTCCACGCCGTCCGGCTATATGATAATGTGTTTTATGCGCACATCAAATTCTATGGGGGGAAGGCCGCTTCAGTTATGTAAGTCTCGGTGCCTTGGTGGTACATATGGACGACATGCGAGCAAGCCTTAGGCCACACCATGTAAATTTTATGGATGACGTCCTTTGGAGACCCTAAATCTAATGCGAGAGAGCGAAAAAAAACAAGAAGGGCCCTAAAAAACAAGATGCCTAGATTAGAAATATACTAAGAGACGACAAATGTTAGGACACAAATTGAATGAGGTGACACAGATTAACAAGCAAGAAGTCTTTTATTCATCATCAAAACAGCAATAAATCAGGTGGAATAGCAGTTGTCGTCCTGTCCTGTTTTCGCGTTACGGGTTCCACGTCAATTTGACGATTTGCAGCACTGTCGTGACTCTTTGGTCATAGTCACAGAAACAGGCCAAAATCAATTCGCGCGCGGACGTCATCCATAAAGTTTACTTGGTGTGGCCTTACATTACTTTCTAGACGCTGTAATACTGTGTAGTGTTCACTAAGTGATAGTGGAGTGCCCCCAAGGACTGATTTCATTTTACCTTGCATAAGGCTGTTCGACAAATGCCTCTTTATGTTCGCTACTCGGTGACTGACCCTATCATCCATGCAGCAATATAAGGAACAGTCTGCAGACGTCAACAACGCGTGTCTTGGCCTGTGGAGTTTCTTGAAGTCTTTCACGGTGTCTGGCCTCTACAAGTCATAAAGGGATCCTTTATAGTCTATAGAGGACGAATTTACATGTAGTCTGTAGTTAAAAGGAATTAAGGTACATAACTATGGGGTGGATGTCCTCGATGGTCAGATCATTGAACTCGTCGGTGGCAAATAGCTTGTTAAAGATCCTGTCTATTTGTAGCAGCGACGCCTTGCAATATCTATAATTACTGCAGCTGTGCTTTGCATAGACACACGCTCGTTCAATACTGTGACGATATCGTAAGACGTACATTAGACACCAGATGTGTTTTCAAAACCATCTACCAAGAACTATGTCAATATGTTTTAACTCCACTTAGGCCACAGCAAGTAATTTTTATGGATGACATCCGCGCGCGCATTAATTTTCGCATGATTTTGAAAAAAAAAAACAATAAATTTTGTTGCCCTCTGACAGTGGTCAACATGCCGAAAATGGGCAAAAAATGTCTGCTGCCATGCCGGGAGGCAGATAACTGAAGAGAGGAGACAAGAAAAGGCTCTGATTTAATGTTTTGTTTCTTACTTTGATGCAGTGATATGTGATGCTGGCTGTGTATATGATGTTCGCATTGAATAAAAACCATTTGTACAATGATTGAGTCAACATTTTAAAATGTAGCTTGTTTTTTTTTCGCCCGCTCGTATTAGATTTGGAGTCGGCGGAGGATGTCATCCATAACATTTACTTGTTGTGGCCTTATATGATTAGGTCGTAGTTTTCCTTGAAATCATATGAGACGGTCTGTAAAATTACAATAATAACATAAACTAATAATTTAACACAATGAGTGCTTGGTAACCGCCGGGTTTCTTTGAAGATATGTCATATGTAAATGGTCTATAAATGAGGTTAATCATCAGTTATTACTTACCCTGGCAACAACGAATTGTGTTTGTCTGTTGCTATAGTGTTTTTAATGTTCCCATGTGTATACAATAGCAAGCCTGTATTTGATATATATCAAAGGACCAGGGCAAATGTGATTGAACAGCATTCCCTCTATTCTTTTTTATGATAACCTAACAAAAATACTGGGGAACTGTATAACATTCAAGGTATGGCAACTGCTTCATTTAAGTTAGCAACATTTTTTCTACAGCTCTATTTTTAGAATTGAAGCATATTTATAGAAGACGACATTTATAACCAAGTAAAGTTCATCATTGCACATGATCTTCACAGCACGAAATAATGCTCTCAGGCCCACCTTCAAGCATGTACTCAGAACCTTTCAGCGTGCCACTAGGTTCTCTTCCAGTTCTCATCAATACACCGTTAACATTCCTGTCTCCAAGTCATTTTACAACAACAGCTTCTTTCCCCGGACAGCAAAATTATGGAACTCTCTTCCAAACAGTTGCTTTCCGTCCGACTACAATCCACAAAGCTTCAAAACAAAGGTCCACCGCCATCTCCTGACATAACTACATTATACTTACTTTAGTATCTCTAGCTCTATGCCTAGAAGTGGCCAAAAATAATTGGCCTTGCATTGAGCGTCACCGTTAAAAAAAAGAAAAGAAAAAGAAACAAAATGTTTACGTTGTGCTTAAAGAATGGGTTTTGTCTAGTGGTGGAGATAGAAGTCATGCACTGACTGTACCCGTGTTTTACCCCAGCATGGCCGTTCGGAGGTGTCATCTGTAAGCTATCCCCGTTTATGCAGGGGGTGTCCATAGGGGCGTCCATCTTCACGCTGGTCGCCATAGCGGCAGACAGGTATGGATAATACACTACCTTTATTCTGACTTTAAGTATGCGTGAAGGTATACACGTGAACAAACTTAAGCTTTACGCATAGTTTGACCGTTTCAAAATCATACCCAGTTGCTTGAGTAATAACGGCTTTTGGGCGTACTTTACGCACAGTTTACTAGTAATATGTGCGTAAAGAATGGGTTTTGTGTAGTGCTACTGTGCTATACACGTTGTTTTTTTACAGTAGTATTTCTTATCCATATGAACGGTGTTCTACATCGCGGTAGCATATCTGTATGTTTCGCATTCAAACTATAGGTACGTACATTTCAAGTGCTGTAGAGAATGTTTGTTTGTCTCTGTGTGTGTGTGTGTGTGTGTGTGTGTGTGTGTGTGTGTGTGTGTGTGTGTGTGTGCGTGTGTGTGTGTGTGTGTGTCCGTGTGTGTGTGTCCCTGTGTGTGTGTCCGTGTGTGTGTGTGTGAGTGAGTACATGAAAAACTACCTAATAAACAACACCAATTTAGTTAGCATTTACAACATGATTGAAGGATCATGACGTTAACAGTATCTTCTGTGGTGATGTATCTTTTTATCTCCAGATACCTGGCCGTTGTCCACGTCCCCCAGGGTAAGATAAGCGGTCGCCAGGCGGCGCTGTCCATCGCCGCTATCTGGCTGCTGGCGGCCGCCATCAACATCCCCCAGGCAGTCGTGCTCGAAGTAGCGCCTCATGACTTCGGCGACGGGGTAACCGTTTCCGCCTGTCAGGTGAGAAGGCATGAACAAAACTAGCCTGGGTGCCATCCGCCGTAGTTTCCGCCTGCTCCCTAATGTCGCTACTCCGGATGCCAAACTAGTATCGGGCCGTTAGCCGTTTTCCTTCGGCAGCCAAGAACCCTGCACCCGCCTATCTATAAAATTACCGCTACGGGGGAGTTGAGCCCGAGGGGTTTGTCCGGCCCTATCCCTCGGGCTCCACTCCCCCGTAGCGGTAATTTAGATAGGCGGGCGTAGGGTTGTTGGCCATGGCTGCCGAAGGAAAACGGCTAACGGCCCGATACTAGTTTGGCATCCAGGGTATAATGTCGCTGGCTTCCGTGGTAGCCTGTGACATTAGGAAGCGGGCGGAAACTAAGGAGGATAGCACCCAGGCTAGAACAAACTGGACCGAAGTAGGGAAGTTTTGTACCTGCTCCTTCTACCCGAAAATTGTCCAAACTGGACCAAAGTTTAAAAAAAAATCATTTTCGAAGATGTTACCTAGAGACTAGAATACCCATTTGGGGGCTTTTTTCTACCGCGCAACGCAATGGTGAAGTCAAAAATAAGAAGAAGAGCAATTTTGATAACTAGTCTAATAACTGACTGATGACTCCAATTAATAAGGACATGTGACCATTTGGAACAGGAACGTATTGAGTCAAATTTCTAATGTGACAAAGTCTGTATCGTCCCCCGCCCCGGTTCAATGTTACATTTTGCTTGCCCGCAGGAGGAATGGCCGAGCATGAACCACCGCCGTGCCTACACCATCATGTTCTTTCTGCTGCTGTTCGTGGTGCCTATCTCCGTCATCGCCTACATGTACGTCCAGGTGGCCAACAACATCTGGTACCGGCCTGTGGCGACCTCCGTGCCGCGGAAGCTGGCAGGTACGTACCGCGTGCACACCGAGACTTATACGAGTGTTTATACAAGAACGTGTGTTTTCACATCCAACGTTTAGGTGACCGTCTGTCACCTTCCTCAGGGCAACAATGACTGGTTCTTATTGGTACTGCAGCTAGGTGTCGCTGCTGTACTATTACAGGTGCAGTCCCAAACGTAGATTGTTGTAACATGATATATTCATCAAGCACAGTAGTAGTAATAATAAACATTTTGTCGCTGCCCTAGAGAAGGTTACAGACCAAAACGTCGGATGTGAAAATTCAATAGTTTCACCTTCTTAACAGTCTCTTGCCAACCTGATGAAATAATTCACGGAAGAATCATATAATAGTTATAAATTCATGAAAGTTTTAAGTCCTGTCGGTTTCTGATCTACTCGGCTTCATGTCCACTTCAGATCCCCACGAGAAGAAGAAGACCTGGGTAGTGAAGATGCTGGTGGTGGTGGTGGTCCTGTTCTTCGTGTGCTGGCTGCCGCTCCACCTCATCACCCTCATCGGCGACTGGTCGGATCCCTACGCCAGCCACGCCGAGGTCGTCTTCGTCTACCTCTACCCGATCGCTCATTGGCTGGCCTACTTCAACAGCTGCATGAACCCGGTGGTCTACGGGTACTACAACAAGAACTTCCGGCGGCTCTGCGACTCCAAACTCGGCCGCCATGGCGGGATGGACAGGGACAAAACCAACGGAAACGTCAACGCCACGGAGAACAAGGAGAACTACCAGCTGCAGGTGATTGAGACGGGTACGGAGCAGCAGCCGACCAGACGCACCACCGTTTCCGCCATCACCATGGGAACCATGGCGTCAACACCTGACGGGACCCACGTCCACGCTGACGTAGCCGTGTAGATCACGGCTGTCCGTTAAATTTCAAACAGTACGTACCGTTAAATTTCAAACAGTACGTATATCGCACATACTTGCTCATTGCAAGTACCAAAGACAATGGCTCTGTTTGTATTATGTGAAACGAGCACTGCACGAAATGCTACCTTTTAGCAAGTAGACTCAAAATCAAACTTGAACCTCCTTGCTTTACGCATACCTTAAACCATGCGTAAAGGTATACGCGAGTGGAGAAACGAAAGCTTTACGCATTCTTTAATAATATGTGCGTTAAGTCCGGATTTTGTGTAGTGAAACGAGTGACTTCTCTGGTATAGTTCCGATTGACTTGATATGGTCGTGGACTTTTAAAAGATATTTACACAAATAAATAGTAAGGTTCCACCTATAAATAGTCACTGATAGAATTTACCTAAGCTATCATCTAGACATAGTGTGTTCATGGTAAGTAAAAATTCAAAGGTTTCATCGCGAAAGTCTTATTTGAAGTTTAACACACTCACATTTTTCTTTCCTTTTCCAAACTATTGACAATCACTTTAATGTTATTATCACTAGTAAATGTGGACAAAAATCGCCGTACGAAATCCTACCTTTAAGCATACCTTAAAGCACGCGTAAAGGAATCTGTACGCGTGTCTTATTGTGTGCGTAAAGAATTACATTTGTGTAGTGTATCAGCCTTTGACACCGAAACGTATCTTTCTTTCACATTTAAGTCCTATTTCAGTCCGTACATATCTTCTGTATTTAGACATTATAAATTAATGTGATATGATCACCAATAGAAAACTCGAAGACAATAAATAGACAAACATTAAGCCAGATGAAAAAACAACAACAATGATTCTATTGTTGATCTTTGAAACAAAAGCAGAGTACATTTATCAAATTTTTCTAGACTAGGAAAAGCCAACATGTAAAAGACAATGCAATATATTACCCCACTATTACAAATTATTGCTGGATTTACCACGAATTAAAGTCGAGAGTGTGTAAGAATATATACTGTAAATAGCTCAATCCTGTTAAAATTTCGAGTAGCCAAGAAAACAATAGATTTTTAAATAGATCGTACTGAAAGATAAAAATGTTAGAAAAGAAAAATCCGTCGTTTGGTCTTAGAGATCAACTTTAGGATGAGCAGGGTAAGTATGAAAGTGTGGTTTTACGTAGCACCAATTTCTTAAAAAAACAAAGAAGAAAACTTTTTAAAAAATACTCCAGGCGCGTTTTTGCAGGACAGTACAGAAAGGCAATCATGGTAATCTTTGAGCAGGTGTTAGCTTGTTTTCCAGGGTATCAGTATTAAGAAACAAGAGGCCAATCTTTGGTCTACATTCTCACTGTTGCTCTCAGTCGTTATTTTTTGGATTCTAGTAAAACAGTAAAGATATTTCGGTAAAGGAGGTGTATATGCGATCTATGACCTCCAACTCGCTGTGTATACATTGAGGACTTAGAACCGCTGCATGTGGAGCTAAAATTGTAGACGTGCCTATATGAGATGGAGAAGAGCTGATTCTGAAGGTGTATAGGTCTATTTACTAATGAATTGCATACTAGTAATATAGATTCTTGTCTTTGTTCAAGGTTTTCATGTTTAACTTGAACTATATAATATAGATTCTAGTTTTCGTTCATGGTTTTAATGTTTATCTTGCTGTTAACGATATTTATGTATCTTTCTGTACGTGCGTGTATATGTATGTATTTATGTATGTATGTGTGTGTGTGTGTGTGTGTGTGTGTGTATGTACATGTGTGTGTGTGACTGTGTGTGTGTGTGTGTGTGTGTGTGTGTGTTTATACGCACGTATATCTACAATGCTGAATTCTATATATATCTGCAGCATTGTGTTCAGATAAGAAAGTGGTGTAACTGATTTACCCTAAATTACTTAGTAGTAATACCCTTTTCACGATTGGTTCTCCACCAAGATTCAGTTGTTATATGTTATGTATCATTGAAAACATATGTACTGTACTTTAGTGGAGCAAAAATGTACCATAAAAGTTTTCATTCATTGAAATATACACTTGATATTTCTACAGCATATCTCACTATTTCGTAACGATATGTATGTATGTCACAGTTACTTTTCGGTTTTGGAGTAGTGTTAACAGTAACACCTAGCTTCGATTCAGCACACAGTGAACCAGTAACACTAGCTTCAGTGCACAGTGAACCAGTAACACCTAGCTTCACTGCACAGTGAACCAGTAACACCTAGCTTCAGTGCACAGTGAACCAGTAACACCTAGCTTCAGTGCACAGTGAACCAGTAACACCTAGCTTCAGTGCACAGTGAACCAGTAACACCTAGCTTCGATTCAGTACACTGCGAACCAGTAACACCTAGCTTCAGTGCACAGTGAACCAGTAACACCTAGCTTCAGTGCACAGTGAACCAGTAACACCTAGCTTCAGTGCACAGTGAACCAGTAACACCTAGCTTCAGTGCACAGTGAACCAGAAACACCTAGCTTCAGTGCACAGTGAACCAGAAACACCTAGCTTCAGTGCACTGTGAACCAGTCATCGAAACGTCTGCTATTGTTAAACAAGTGGTTGGGAATAAATGACTTTGCTATTTGATTCTGCATTTTCTTTCAGGAACATGTCGGATTGAATGACGCATAAACTATGATATATAGTGATATTGTGATACTTTGTGCCTGAACAACTGTTCGTTCTACATTCAGAAAATTAAATGGCTGTGTACATTGGCTTTTGATGTCTATCAAAACTTAACGTGAGTGCTGTGGAATAAAGATGTCTAACATTTCTCTATATCTCACGTGTCTCTTTCTTTGTGAAATTAGGGAAGGGGGTTTCTTGTAGACGTAAGTTGTGCGTTTTGAACAGATTTGGCCCTACAGCTTCAATCATACAAAATCTAAATCAATACAGGTCGTAGGGGCAGTGTTTTGTTAATACGTAGTCCACAGTGTCTATACCATGGTTTAAAAATAAAGGTGGAGCCCATCCCTCTCTTTCCACCACCTTTTACCTCCCCAAACCGAAGTACCCATTTTACACCGGAGTGAAGTGAGGAAAGTCGTCTAAAGAACCTTTCCGAAGGACAAAACGTCTTGTATGCCTTAAGAACTTGTACCTAGCCACTCTAGATAAATTGAATATTGTAAGACAGACAAAGAATACATTGAATGAATGTCTTTAAAAAACGCCTAAAAATGTGTAACCCCATTTTACAGTTCAGTCAGTGCCCACCCCTCCAATCGAATGGAACAGCCCAACGAACCGGAACGACCGATAGGACAAACGCCCGACCGAACGCATCCAAGTAAACGAAAACAAGATTAAAGGATATATCCTGAAGAACGACCGATAGGCTAAACCCGAAAAAACAGATTAGAGGAGATTCAAGCAAAACGACCGATAGAATCATACAGCCGAAAAACACACTCAATGAGCTCTGTTTATAGGAAACTTTATTTGCAAAATCATGCCCGGAGGCTAATTGCTTTTACAATCAAGTATACTAGCTACTCAGTGCAATACAATATTCATGAGAAGGAACTGTCGGTCTTATTGTTAACCTACTTACACACCTGGACACCAATTTGAATTGAGGGCCTTTAAACGACCGCTAGGACATTATGGAGGAAGCAGAGCTACCCACAGAACAGTACTATTGAGCTAGAAGGGCTGGGCAGAGAAGGTTCTAGTACTTTTGTCTGCAGCTCTCTTTCTAGAATGTAATCTCTGGAAGGCGATTTGAAAACGTCGGAACGAAAGAAGGACTGACAGAACGTAACAAGGTAACTCGGCTTTACTTCAGGCTTTTTTGAATACAGTCTTGGGGAGGGGGGCGAGGGCATTAATATTTGTTTATTTGTTTATTAGAATTCACCACAAGTACAAACATACAAGTGGAAGGGAGGACAAAACAGGTGTGTTGACACCTTTACAAGTTGTCCTCCCAACCACAACAATATAAATACAGATTACAGTACAATACAAATTACAATGTCGAACATTTGATGACATGAAATACAAATTCCTACAATAACATACAATAGTCATAAAAATGCAATACAATACACTACCATAAAATATCATTCATTATATACAATTGTAATAATATTAAAAACTACTAAGAATACTAATTTGGTAGTGGGTCCAGGCAACTCTCGTACATGCTAATTTATCCGTCTTTAAAAATGCAACGTGCAAAAAATCTTGCTCATAAAATGCCCCGCAACAACATCGGCCTATGACTTACTTGACTTAATCCTCTTCGCCCGTCCTAGAGCACAGGGCTTCAGTGAACGCTCTCCACCTCCCTCGGTCCCTTGCGATCGTCTTAACCTCGTGCCACGAGGTGTTGGCTGCTGTTAGGTCCTTCCTGACACCTCTCTTCCAGGACAACCGTGGTCTACCCCTCTTCCTTGTCCCTTGGGGGTTCCAGTCAAGGGCAGTTCTAGTGATGGATTCTGGGGGTTTCCTTAGTGTATGACCAATCCATCTCAATTTACGCCTTCTGATGGTCATCTCCATTCGCTCTTGGCCTGCTATCTCCAGAAGGTCTTGGTTACTGACCTTCCTGGGCCACCAGATCCCGAGTATGTAGCGGAGTCTCGCGTTGATGAACGTCTGGAGTTTCTTGATGTTTGCTTGTGTCAGGCCCCACGTCTCACAGCCATACAACAGGATGGACTTCACGTTTGACTCGAAGATTCGCAGTTTAGTTTTAAGAGAGATGTTCCTAGCCTTCCAGACTGGTTTTAGCTGAGCGAACGCTGCCTTAGCTTTTCCTGTGCGGGCCTCGATGTCCATTTCAGCACCACCACTGCTACTGATGACGCTTCCTAGGTAGGTGAAGTCTTTCACTATTTCCAACTCTACCCCTCTGCAGCTCACTGGTTTCGCGTTCCCTACTGTTTTAACGCGCATCTCCTTCGTCTTGGTGGCATTTACTACCAGTCCCACTCGGCCTGAATTGTCCTCCAGCTTCTTCATCTTCCCTCTCATTTGTCCGATACTGTAGCTCAAGAGGGCAAGATCGTCTGCAAAATCTAGGTCATCTAACATATTCAACAGCGTCCATTGTATCCCGGTTCTTCCCCCCTCTGCGGTTTCTCTCATAATCCAATCCAGTGCAGTGATGAACAGCAGGGGGCTTAAGAGGCACCCCTGCCTTACTCCTGTTGTCATGGTTAAAGGGTTCCGTCAGGTCACCTTCATGAGACACCGTGGGCTTGGAAGTCTGAGTAGAAGACTTTGATCATGTTGATGATCTTGGGAGGAATTCCGTAATGAGAGAGGATGTTCCATAAGGTGTTCCTGTCGACCGAATCAAACGCCTTCTCATAGTCTACAAAGACGGCATACAACTGCGAATTGAATTCCACCGACTGTTCTACTATAATCCTTAAGGTAGCAATCTGGTCGCTACATGATCTGTTGGGCCGGAAGCCTGCTTGGTTATCTCTGAGCTTCGTTTCCATTGCATTTGCTGTCCGATTAAGGATTATCCTGCAGAGCACTTTGCTAGCAATTGAAAGAAGCATTATACCGCGCCAGTTCTTGCACTGGGTCAGATCTCCCTTTTTGGGTAATTTGATGATGACTCCTTTCTTCCAGTCTAGGGGGATCTTCTCTTTCAGCCATATACTGGTGAGGAGGGGTTGTAGTGCTTCAACCGACAGCTCGCCTGCCTCTTTCCAAGCTTCTGGAGGAATACCGTCAGGTCCCGCAGCTTTCCCGCTCTTAAGTGCTGAGATGGCTTTCCTGATCTCTACTTTGGTGGGTGGTCCAGTACGTATGTCCAGCATTCCCTCAGGGGGCTCTACTTCAGGTGGATCTAACGGGGGTGTGCGATTAAGGATCTCTGTGAAATGTTCCTTCCAGCGCTCCAGTTGTTCTTCCTTTGTTGCAAGTAACTTACCCTCTTTATCTTGTACCGGTTTGTTAACCTGTCTCCGTTTGCCACTCAGAGTTTTTGTGATTTTGTAAAGGGTCTTCATATCCTGTTTTGAAGCCGCTACTTCCGCCTCCGCAGCAATGTCTGAGAACCATCTCCTTTTGTCCTTTCTACAGCTTCTTTTCACCCGTTTATCTGCTGCATTATAGGCCTTCATGGCAATAGCTTTTGGTTCCTGGTCCTACTGTTGTCGATGTCTACTTTTAAGATGCGCCTCTCTTCTACCATATCCCAAGTCTCTTGGGTCATCCATTCCTTCTTCTCCCTCTTGATCTTTCCCAGGACCTCTTCACATGTACTTGTGAAGACTTCTTTTATGGTCGACCATTCTGCTTCGATGTCATCCTCGTTTTCTTCCTCGTCATCTGAGTCATACCGTAGAGCATCGAAGCGGTTAGCTAAGGTGAGCCTGAACTCTTGTTTAGTTTCCGGGTTCTTCAGCCTCTCTACGTTGTATTTGATCGATTTCTGTACCTTCTTCCTACAGGCTGCCAGCCGAATCCTACAAGTAGCCAGGAGTAGATGGTGATCCGATCCAACATCTGCGCTCCTCTTAATTCTACAGTCCTGAAAAGTTCCACGCCACCTCCGAGAAACTGCAATATGGTCTATCTGATTTTCGACCGTTCCGTCGGGAGAACGCCAGGTCACTTTGTGGCTCTTCTTGTGGGGGAACAGAGTGCCGCCTATTACCAGGTCATTTAAGGAGCAAAAATCTACAAAAAGCTCTCCATTTTGGTTCCTCGTTCCGACTCCATGTTGTCCCATCACCCTCTCGTTCCCACTTGCTGCAGCTCCTACTTTGGCATTCATATCGCCCATGAGAATAGTGATGTCCCTCTTTTTACGCTTGGCCATAGTGGCTTGAAGCTGATCGTAAAAACTCTCTTTCTCCTCGTCACTTGCTTCATTAGTAGGTGCGTAAGCCTGTATGACAGTTGTGTCTTGACAACGCGAAGTGAATCTTGCCATGATGATTCTCTCAGATATGGGTTCCCATTCTTTCAGACTCTGTGCGCACTTCTTGGACATGAGAATCCCTACTCCCCTTGCATGCGTCGGATGCTCCTCTGGGAAACCAGAATAAATTATAGTTTCTCCGCTCTGTAACCTCGTCTTACCACTTCCCAGCCATCGCGTTTCGCTTAATCCAATCAGTTCTATGTTCAACCTCTTCATTTCTGCTACTACTTGATGAATTCTACCTGCCTGGTAAAGGGTTCTAACGTTCCATGTAGCTATGTTAGTGCGGTATTTGGGGGACAGAAGCTTCGGTCGGTTAGACGTCATGGGCTGTCCTCCTCCAGAAGTGTCGTTAGGTCTATAAACACGCCTCGTCCCGCGAGCTGATCCGCTGACAGGTTGAGACCTTTTCACTGAAGTTTTCGTAATCATTAGAAATCCGCCTGTGGGTGATTGGCCCAGGGGCTTCACGTGCACCTATTGGCCTCAGGGATAGCTGGCTGCGTTACCCTGAGTTCACCCCTGCACCACGATGAGGCACACTCTCCGAGTGTGGGGACTCTCTGCATCCCTAGGTGCTCCGACTTCGCAGGGGAACATCGGCCTATACTAATCACTAATCAGTCTAATGTAGTGCTTCTTCCCTTGGCATCCAGGTAAACAGTACTTGCTACAATGCAACTACACAAAGATGAGCACTTATTACGGATGAATAATGGCGGAATGACATCCGCAACGCCCATCTTTAGCCCAGTCTTTATAACTGATTCTTTCCGGAACAAAATGTTAGGAGATTTCCGATGAGCTAGAACGACCGCTAGAACGACCGACAGGACGTCCGGATTTTAATAACATGTCTAAATACAGGCATACTGAAACGACCGCGAGGGCGGGCCGGAAAACGTGTTTAAATAGAGGCATGGGCGCCTCTACCAGCATATCGCACCACTGCGAGCTTAATAGTGTGAGGAGCCCAGATCTCGGTACAGCACCATGCCTAGCATCAAGTATACCTACTTCGACGGGCGCGGGCTCGGCGAGGTCAACCGGGTGATCCTGGCGGCCGGCGGGATAAAGTACGAGGACGTCCGCCTGCATGAGAGCAAGTGGTCGGGGATGAAACCAAGTAAGTAAAAATATATTTCTACTTGGATATAATGCAAGATGAATTTTGAAATAACACGCTAGCAATATTACTCGATAATCTAAACACTGATGGTTGTAAAGCTTTGCTTTTATTTCTGGTAAAGTTAATTCCCACTATTTTTGCAAGTGCATCGTGCATTTTGGTTGGGGTACTTTGGGATATCAATTACTAGTAATCAACTACACAAAATTTTTTCTTTACACACATTAAAGTATGCGTAAAGAGCTCGCTTATACATTTACGCATACCTGAAGGTACGCTTAGAGGTAGGATTTCGTGCAATGTATATTATCTAAATCTAAATATTTACCTATTGTTTAAGCTTTAAAAGTATATATATATGCGTTAAGGTTTCTTTTCTTCACTTGAAGCATGCTTTAAGATATGCTTAAAGGTAGGATTAGGTACATTTGCTGGCTAATATAGACTATCTAGTTATTGTACAATTATTTGTCTACGATATGGGGAATAAAGAAGGAACTTTTCTTTTCCAGCAACCCCGATGGGAGAGCTCCCCCTGCTGGAAGTTGACGGAACGACAATCTGTCAGAGTAACAGCATCGCTCGGTACATCGCCAGAGAAGCAGGTACGGCATGTGCATGAAGTTAGCATGAACGCTAATCTGTGTTGGTGGTTAGGCCACACCGCCTTAATGTTATGGATGACATCCTCTGAAGACCCCCAAACTAGTGCGCGCGGGCGAATAAAAAAATTCCGGCCAAAAATAAAGATGCTACTAAACCACAGGCAGTACTTAGCCACGTATACAACAAGCGCGGCACATGCCGACTTTTTGCGGAATTTATGAATCGGTACTGTACGTATGTATTGAGTTCGTGAGTCGTAGAGCTTCGGTAGCCTGGGTGCCCGGCTCCGTATTGTTGCTAACTACCATGGACTACCCAGGCCTAGAGCCAGGCCAGAGCCTCGGAGAACGTGATCTTTTTTCTTTTTTTTTGTGTGTTTAGAACAGGCAAAATCAATGCGCGCGCGGATGTCATTCATAAAATTAAGTCGGTGTGACCTTAACATAACAAACTGAGCTAAACTGCAACCAAACACAAGGACGTTTGACTGCATGGATTTTCAGCTGTCCACGCTGACATTTCTTTGCTGTGTTGAAATCCAGATAGTTTTTCGTCATGATTGACATACTTGAAGAGTTTGAAATAGCCCCAAAACAAGCTACGTGAGGAATTTCTTTGCTACGGCCAATAAATAGCTAGAACCAACCTAGGATACGAATTTCCGTCAGTGACATCGCATTTTTGCCTCAGATATCAGTATGCTATGGGATAGGTTGCAACTTAAAACATTGAAAATTAATTCTTACTCAAACACATTCACATACATGTACTACTAGTATATGGTGACAGGAGCAGAGTAGACCATGAAATTGCAACATTATGTAACCCAACACCAGTCACCATGGTGACAGACGTCAGCAAATTATGTCATTGGTCAGGTCAGAGGTTACTGTTTGAAGAAGAAGAAGAAGAAGAAGAAGAGGAAGAAACTGAGCAAAAACAATATGTTTTCCTTCGTTAAACATAAATATGACTTTAAAACTTCGGTTTTACTCCGCTGAAATCGCTTTGGGTGCCTTTAATAAACAACATAACTGTTCCAGGGCTGGCGGGAAAGAGTTCGCTGGAGCAGGCCAAGGTGGACATGATCATGGAGGGGGCGAGGTCCCTGTTTGACAAGGCCGCACAAATCTTCATCCTACCCGAAGCAGAAAAGGTAACAGTCCAAATCAAGCTTTACAAATGCTGACACAGGTTAATGTTTTTATATGCTTAACGTTACCTTCACAAAAGGAAAACATTGCTTTTGCTCTATTTCTTTTTCCTCTTCTCCAAACAAATGTGGTTAATGAACATTACCAGACGTCTGTCACCATGGTAACCGCTGCTGCAGCAGACACTACGTGGTGTTGCATTGGATTACATTTATGTAGCAAGACAGTGTTGGAAGGACTGGCCACTATATACATGTAGGGGGTGTTTCACTTTGAGTAGAAATACATAGAGCAGTAGTTAGGCAAAACCACGTAAACTTCAACATTATCTGCTGAATGAAAATGTTAATTTTCTAAATGACTGACATGTTTGTTTCCACAGGCGGTGAGGAAGAAGAAGCTCGAGGAAAAGGAAGCCCCAGAGTTGTTGGAGTACCTGAACAAACTGGCGAGCGGCAAGGGGTATTTTGTCGGCGATCAGGTACGTGTGCCTCTTCTATTCTATTTTGCTATATTCTATTCTATTCTATTCTATTCTATTCTATCCTATTCTATTCTATTCTATTCCATTATATTCCATTATATTCCATTATATTCTATATGTATTCCAGTCAATCCCTTTATATTGAAAATTGTATGACAGGATATAACATATTACATATATTACGGTTACCCATTGAACGATAGCTTTTAATGCTTAGTTGCTGAGTAGCAACGTAGACAGACTTTCAACTTGGCAATATTTGATATTTGTGACTGAAATCACAAATATCAGTCACTTGTTATGTCAGTCATTCTGCGAATGTGGTAAATCTTAATAAACAACACCTTTGACCCAGTGTTGACGTCACCCTTTAGAAAAGTCATGTGACAAGCCTCACTGGGTCAGTCTACTGAGGAAGACCAGAGTGACTGGTCGAAAGCTCTAGGTGAAAACATTAACCTTTTGTGTTACTGTTGGAACAAAAGCTATACCTTTAAACACAAAAACGTTTGTTGTTTTGTACCAGTTGACAGCGGCTGACATCGCCCTCTACGTCAACTATGAGTCCGTGGGGTCCCTGACGATCGCCCTGCCCAGTCTGGACAAGTATCCCAACCTCAAGAAGGTGGCCGACAATGTCAAGACCAACCCTGGTATCGCCAATTGGCTGAAGGAGCGCCCAGTGACCACCTACTGACCATCATCTTTGACCACTGGCGCAATCTCCTACCTAGCTCATATGTCAATGTAGATACCACGTAAGGTATTCACTGCACGAAATCCTACATTTAAGCAAACCTGAAAGTATGCGTAAAGGTATACCTAAGTAAAGAAACGTAATCTTTAAGCGTACTTGAATGTGTGCGTTAAGAATGCGTTATCTTTGTGTAACGATTGTGAACTTTTGAACTTGTTGTGATCTGATGTTCTTCCTACTGTTTATCTATAGAAAACGACGCACAAGACAGACATTTGATTCGGTCAATTTTGCCTTGCCTTTAAAATCACATGCTAGCACATTACGATCGGAACGTGGCTACAAGTTATCTTTGTCATGTAAACTCGGGTCAGACTTATAACATCGACTTACTTCATAGATAAAACCTTTCACGAAAAACTTGCCATCGTGACTACTTGCAATGCTGTGTTTTGTGTATTGTCCAATTTGTAGATGTGGAGTTAACGTTGTTACTGTTGTTTTCCTTTGTTTGACACTTGTATTTTGTGAGTTTTGTCATGTCTCAGTATGGTTTACAATAAAGTCACCCAAGGAGATTGTAATAAAGGCATTTTGTGTTATGTATTTAATTCGGGGGTATCAACTTGAACCATATGTATGTATTTAATTACATGGTACATGTATTAAACTTGAACAACTGCAATTAACACGATTATTTTGCTGATGTTTTAAACACAGTAATAAACATACCAAATAATGCTAAGAAACATTCTTAACCATTATTAGCATTGCATAATGTATCAATACATTCATTACATAATCTATCATCAATATACATGTATTAACTGTTAACTTTCTTTTTTTGTACAATGTTAACCATTGGAATGATTGATTGAAAATCAACTCGGTATGTCCTAGTAATTAAGAACGATCCAGCACCGCCCCAACTATTAAGGTGCTAAACTTGTACTTATAGGAAAGAAGAAATGGTGATAGTAATTTCTTGCTGTGGTGCGAATTTAAAACGGCGTCTCTGGCCGTTCCTTCAGCCACTTGGCTATCCCAGGGTTGGAGGTCACGTGATCCATGACCTTCTTCAGTCCGGAAAACTGGTCCATACTCGGCAGTTTGAAGTAGCGTCCCACTAAATCCGTCGTGTTGAAGAAGGTAATATCAGCCAACGTCAGCTGAAAAACATATAAGAAATACATGTAAGAAGGTTAACAGGTACTAGGTAAGCCACGAGACAAGCTTCACTGGGTCAGTCTACTGAGGAAGACCATAGTGACTGGTCGAAAGCTGTAGGTGAGAGAATTTTTTTGTGTTGGACCAAAAGTTTTATCTTTAAACATGTATATATATAACTACCAACACAGATGAACTTTCATGATAGGTACTAGGTAAGACTGCGCATGCACAGATGACATCCGTAGCAGACTCCAGATCTAATGCCACAGGGAAAAAAACAAACAAACAAGGCGGGCCAATAAAAACAAAATTCTTACATTTTTAAAATTTTGACTCAATTATTGTACAAATGATTTTGATTCAGTGGGAACATCACAGCCACCATCCCATATCACTGCATCAAAATAAAAGACAAAACATTAAATCAGAGTGTTCTTGTCTCCTCTCTTCATAGTTATCTGCCATCCACCTTCCGGCATGGCAATAGGCACCTTTGCCCATTTTCGGCATGTTGACTGTCAGAGGGCAACAATTTTTTTTTTCAAAACCAGGCGAAACTAATGCGCGCGCTGATGTCATCCATAAAAATCACTTGCTGTGGCCTTATATTAATAAAAAGTATTTCAAATACGGCATAGTTCGGTATGATTGTCTGCCGATTTAAGCAATGTTTGTACCTCATTACCAACGAAGTGCCCGCTGTCACCGACCAGCTTGTTCAAGCAGGTATAGAACTGGGGTAGGAACGTCTCCTCGTATTCTTTCTTCTTTTCAGCCTGTTACAACATACATGTATGTTGCGGAAAAGTATTGAAAAAGAATAAAAACAGAGTACGTGCATGAAAACAATGATCGATCTTATAAAGTATTTCGTGACAAAACAAACAAATATAATTGGTTTAAGCTAACCCGTATTTAAATATGTTTACCATGATCGCAGAAGGAAAAGATATTGTTTTGCCCTGTTTCTTCTTCCTCTTCTTTTTCTCCAAACAAACAAGGTCAATGACCTGAACCAGACCTCTGTTACCATGGTCACCGGTGTTGGGTTACATCATGTTGCAATTTTATAGCAGGAAGGATTTAGGCTCCTGTCTGACCATATATATGAATGTGTTTGAATAAGAATTAACAGAGCAGACCATATGCAAAGGTAAACATTATGCATTTGCTTTGGAAATGTTACCTTTCTAGTTTCATATGTTTGTACATGTGTGAGGTCTTATGGCGAATATACAATTAAAGTGATAAAATGCTATCACGAAGCAAGTTCAAACTGTAATTTCACCAGAAAATTTTACTTACTCAAATTTTCGACTGTGCAACTCCGGTCCTTGTCAAGGAATAAGTAATCTACCACTTCTGTGACGTCACTTTATGCAGATGACACACGTGACTCGTTGAGTAGTGGGTCATAGGAGCACATCGGCAGAACGTACTGCGCCTGCGCAGAACCCTGTATTTTCATTATTTTCGGTGGATTTTGGGTCAATGTTGCATCAGAATTTTGCCTGTTGCTAAGGATATCTTTTCCTACATAACGTTTGGAAACTACAGACGGGATGTTAACCTTATATGCGCGCGTACGACCTTCTATGAGAAGTTCTGTCGAAGTGCTTTGTACAATACATTACGGGTTTCGCGCAGGTGCAGTGCGTTCTGCCGACGTGCTGGTCATAGGTTACCAAAAGTCTGCCCCCCCCCCTGGTTTTCACAGAAGTGTTGAATTGTTAATTCCTTGATAAAGACTGGAGTTGTACAGTCAAAACTTTGGGTAAGTCAAACATCTTGCATTGGAAATTACAGCTTAAACATCCTTCATAATCATGGCTAAGACGAACGTATTGCTATAAACAAGGGCTTGTTGTAACTTTTTTTTCTTCGTCTTTCTCCCAGTGTGTGGCATTGCCCTTCTTCCCCACGTCTTCCATCCCGTCCATAATCATGTCCACACGAGCCTGGTCCAGGGGCGTCTTACCGGCCAATCCTACATGGTACATAGGTAGTAAAATCAATCAATCAATCAATCATTAAATCTGCATATGTAACATTAGGTCATGTTGATTTGATTATATGGATGGCATCCGCGCGCGCATGAATTTTCGGCCGTTTCCAAAAAAAAGTTTTCAACCATACTGTAAATCGTACAAAACAGTTGCAAAATGATCAAATATACACCGTAGGTTAAAATCATTGGAAAACTATACCAATGTCGTAGAATACCAAAATCAAACGAAAAAAAGACGAAAATGTAAAGAAATGAATTTGACGACTAGATTATTCGCCAAACCATACTTTTTTTTGGCCAAACTTTTTTTATTCGCACGCTCGCATCAGTTTTGGGGTTCCCAGAGGATGTCATCCATGTAATTAAATCAACATAGCCTTAGGATGATACAAAAGGTCAATTTACCTGTTATTTCATTACAAAGTAATCAACGCTACTCCATTGCAAACAAATGTGTCATTCAGAAAAACAATTTGCGACTGTCCTATGCAATCACTGATCACATACCTGCTACTTTGGCGACGTAACGCGCGATGCTGTTACTCTGACACAACATCGTCCCGTCCACCTCCAGGATCGGAACTTGGCCCATTGGAGTCTCTACAAACACATCAAACAGCATGAACGTCTAAACTATACCCTGAATGTACTGGGTTTAAAGTTGTTTTAATGGTTCTTCTCAGAGTTGTACATACACAGTTTCTGTATCTGTATAGCCGGTATAACCGCCTTTCGTTCGGCGTAACACACCAGCTTCGCAGGCACGCGACGCGGCGGCAGCTGGCTACATTACACCGATCGACTTGTTACACCTAACCCTTGAACTTCTAACTCTAGACATTGTTTAAAGCTATCTAATGACAATGCCCCTACTGTACTTGGTGACAGCGAGTTCCACTCTGCGATAGTTCTAGGAAAGAATGAATTCTTGAACACCTCAATCCTTGGTTGATAACTCTGGTATTTGAAGGCATGGCTATTTCATTTGTTTGTTTTTCGTCCTTTGCTAATATTGTGTGCCTCAGAGACCAAAGTTTTGGCTCAACAGTAAAGGATATCCTACCTAAAATACAAACAAAGCAACGGTATTGGCGTGATGAATACAAAGGCATTAATTTCACCTGTGCTGGGCGTGGTATGTGTTTACTTTGGGACAAGGTTGCGCCCTAGCGCCCTGTCGGTCGTTCAATTGGCTGCAATATTCTCAATCCCGCTAAACGGCGCATTTATCAAAATGAAGCGAAAGGCATGAACTCTGTGACTTTTCTTGACAATAAAAAAAGAAATATAATCCACCTTTCAAAGTCTGAAGAACAACAACAATATCGCTCAAGTTACCACGTCCCCTTTTGTTTGCATTACATATGCCACGCCCCTTTCGCCACTCTTTTGAACTCGCAGGCAACTGCGATTCCTAACATCAGAAACTGCATATTATATACATGCCAAGAACAATTACAGTGGCTTCCAATTTTTTTCCGGATAAAGAAAAAAATCACAGATACTAGTGTGTGTAAGGTACCGTACAGCTACACGGAGGGTGTGACTTATAATCTCCAAGCAGATCTTTCGGTTGGGTGGCAAAAGACCGTATCTATTGGCCATCCTGTATCCATTGGCCGTCCTGTATCCATTTCCCAACCGAAATGGCTAATGGACACTCCTCTGGCCAATGGATACTGTCTTGCCACCGAAAGATCTGCTTGGAGATTAGTGACTTACTCGGTTTGAACTCGGGCCATTGCTCTTCGGGCTTCTCAATCCGGACGTCTTCGTACTCTATCCCGGCTGCCGCGAACACCAGCCGGACTATCTCAGCAGTGCCCCGTCCGTTGAAGTAAGTCAGTTTGTAGGCTGGCATTTTGTGTTCAACTTCTAGTATCGTAACTGTCTTTGGAAATGTATCCTTACGTAAAATGTAACGCTGACTGTCACGAAATTCAGTCGCGTAATGTTACCACTACTTCGGCGGGAAGTGAACAGGAAGTGACCTTTAGCATCACTTCCAGGTCGAGTCGAGGGCATCGTTCAAGGTCGTTGGTCTTTAGCTGAATTTCCAAGCAGATGGCGGGAGTAGATAGTTGTATAAATGCAACAGTAATACCAGCGTTTGATAATCGTTACTTTTATTCTAATCTGGCCTAGTTTTTTGTCAGGATTTATGTCAGAAAAATTGGGTTAACTACTAGACAACTGGAGATTGTTTATATGTTACCTCTATGAAACGGAGGTGTTTTCAGTGTGTCTGTTTGTCTGTGTATCTATATTATGTACCGCATGTAACATGTATTCAGTTAACTTGTTTCTTCCACGCATTTCTTGAGGTATTTAATATCTTGGTGAAGTCAGTAAAACGACTACAGAATTCGAAGCTAAGTTAAAGCCTTTTCAATAACTTTATATATATATAACGTTATACATATTATAAGAAGTATAAACCGTGATAATAGCCTAATGTATAATTGGGAGTAAATCCTGGTAGTAGTTATAGCACAGATAGACACTCCCAGGTAACGTTAGATTTGAACCATCGATATCTTTAAGAGGCATGAATAATATTCCTTTAAAACTCTTGAAGCTGGGGAGTATTTTCTAAATCTATTTACACGTAAAGGACACCAGATAAAGATTTCCCTTTTCAAAGTTTATTTCAAAGTTTATTGAGTAATAACACCACTGACATTCAGTCATTGCCTGTTGTATGCAGTAAACCCTAAACCCAAAACTTCGTGAAAGCAGTGACAGCTAACTCCTATGGTGCATTCAGTATCTAATTTCATTTTACTGGCCCAACGACCAAGGGGTATTTCAAATGAATATATACATGTAGTCTTTAGGACTGCAGTAATATATTCTCTCCGCCAGGGTGCGCTGCTTGTATATACTGTATGATGACAGTAACAATGAACAGGTAAAAGAGATATGACGTCCTGACTACCACATTGTCTCTGGGCGTTCTTGGATCCACTTGGCGATCTTGGAGTTGGCCTTGACGTTCTCGACCACTTTCTTCAGCCTAGGGAACTTCTCAAAACTGGGCAGGGTCATGAAGTCCTTGATAGCTTCATAGTTAGCGTAGAAGGCGATATCAGCTGCTGTCAACTGAAATAATACAGCAAAGCCTTTTTCATGCAAACGCTTTATCTAAAGGGTACGGAAGACCATAGCCTAGGTACAATTAGTATTTTTTTCTTCAGTGTGTACTTCGAGTTTCTATGAGTACTTTGAGGTTCTATGAGTATACTTCGAGTTTCTATGAGTACTTCGAATTTCTATGAGTACTTCGAGTTTCTATGAGTACTTAAAGTTTCTATGAGTACTTCCAGTTTCTATGGATACTTGGTTGAACATCAGAAGAGTATAATTTTATCTAAATGTCTTTGTTCATTAAATAATACCTATCCCTTCTTATTATTCTCAGTATGAATCGTATGAATTTCAGTGTCATTATATTGGTTTGATGTCCTCTTTAAATTTACTTACCCGATCGCTGACAAAATATCCCTTCTCGCCAGCGAGCTTTTCCATGTCGGCGAAAAATTTCGGGGCGAAGTTTTCCTCGAAATCCTTTTTCTTCTCCGCCTGTAAGAATAAACATACGGGATGGAGGCATTGTTATTTGTAGATTTTTTGTGTGGAATGTTGTTTATCTATCTGTTTGAAGAGCCGTGCTGTCAAACTGTAGCGGTTCAACCAATGAGAAATCGGTTGAGAAACCAATTTTAAAGCCCCGCCCACTTCTACGTCAAAAACGTAGCAGTGCAATTATGCAGCTACTCCCATTGGTTGAATCGCTGATTGCCATTCTCTCATTGGTTAACTGCTAATCGTCGCTTCGTTACCTTTTTCGCCTCGTCCCCCTCGCCCATCATGATATCTCCAGCCTTCTGGAACAAAGGCACCGCCCCCTCCATAATCATGTCCACCTTCGCCTGGTCTAGGGACGTCTTTCCAGCCAAGCCTGGGCAGTGAAAATGGTTTAAATTGTTCATTTTCTATTTGGTGCGATAACTCGGTTAGGAATCAGCAGTTTTAAATTGACCAAAAGAAACATGCAGACATTATTATGTAGCCCCTGACCAATGGTTTTGCCAAAATTTTGTCCAAAGCAAATTGAAGCTGAATTTTACTTAGTCATGGAACTTGATCTAGATATGATGATCTATTCGAATGCCTCAAATCAAGTACAACAGACTTCAAGAGACTATAACTATCTCTTCCTACTAACCTGTCTCTCTGGCGAGGAACCTTGCAACACTGTTACTCTGACACAGCATCGCTCCGTCCACTTCCATGATGGGCAGCTGTCCGAACGGCGTTTCTGGAATATAAAAGTTCATCTTTAAGCACCCAGCATGTTTATAAGCACGTTTACTTCTACCTAGTGCTAGACAGGTTCACTTATTGAAACTTATGCCACTGTCTGACACGCACGCCGCATATATTCTTTATTATTTGGTCATGGAATATGATCATTTTCTATTATTCATTTGGCTGAAGATACGGTCAAGGTTATCCAACTAGCACAGGGCTATTATCAAGGGGGAACTTTTATTTATGAAGATTTACCACATTTGTGGAAGGATTGACATAACAGGTGACTATCACCTCTTCAAAGATGCCAACCCCGAGACAAGACTGTAAGGTTTGAACCACTCACACCGGGAAGGTCCCCTACTCTTTTCGATAAGTGCGATAGGTTCTTTAACGTGCGTGGGGTGTGGCTCTCCCAAACACGGGACCTCCATTTAACGTCCTATCCGAGGGACGTCCCTAACCAAAGCTAGGTACTCATTTTCACCTGAGTGAAATGAGGAAATTCGTGTAAAGTACCTTTCCCAAGGGTACAACGTGTTCGGACTTGTTCGGGTCTTTGATGCTTATACAAGACAGGGGTTCGCCAGGCCTCCGTCCGAATGATTTGTTGTGAATCAAGAACTGTATACGTACAATTTGGACCATCGCACAGTGACGACGCACACCTGGGCATGCCTACTCTTTTTTAAAAGGTGTGGTGGGGTGTGGCTCTCCCCAAACATATGGGACCTCCATTTGACGTCCTATCCAAGGGACGTCCCTAACCGTAGCTAGGTACTCAATTTCACCTAAGTGAAGTAAGGAAGGTCATGTGAACTGACTTTCCCAAGGGCAGAGCGTCGTGGCATGTTAAACCCAGGACCTGTGGGTTCTCGGCCAAATGCCCTACGCATGTATTTTTCTAGTGGGGACAGGACGGCCCGGGGCATGTATTATAAATTTAGACCCGCTTACAGCTGCCTTGTCATTGAAAGCCACTCGGATTCCGGTCGGTATTTGTCTTTATGTTTAGTAAGTCTTGCGTGCGGATAAACGCCCCTCTTGCTGTGAACTAGATTAGAAACTCTCATTCAAACTGTGACCTCGTCATTCTTTCGACTATTGTTAGAATCTAAACTTGTTAGACTTCTAAAATTATGGACGTCGAGTTGCAATAGAAGTTGCTGTGGTATTTTTTGAGACACAAACAAAGAAGGTTTTTATGAAAAATGTTAAACTGTTCTACAACTCTTTCTTCTTCTGGAATGCACATACTTCATCTCAAAACAAAGTTACGAATGTTTACTTAGTTGAAGCAAATATTTTTAACCTTCTTGGCAATGGCTACGATGCTTGTTCGCATTCCATCTTTATCACATTCAACAATAATGAAAATGAAATATTTAGAAAAACGCCTTGTACCATTTTCGAATTTGGACTTCCTTTCCACAACAAAAGCGCTACTCATCTACAAAAAATGTCATTAAGATCTATTCACAGCTTCTCGAGTTATGCTGCTGTTGACACACATACAGACCCACACTGCACCATGACACAGCAAAAAGATAACCTTTCTGTCGAAGGTAAAAATTATAGTGTTAATTTAGAAAAAAAAAAAGAAATCTTACTCGGTTGAAAGCCGGGCCACTCCTCCTGAGGTAGCCGGTTGTCCTCGTACTCAATCCCGCCTGCCGCCAGCAGCAGCCGGTCGGCACAGCTCCGCACGGCCCCGGCCGTCAAAGTACGTCAGTTTGTAGCTCGGCATGGTCCTTCTGGCTCTTTCTTTCCGTTCTTCTGTGGTCCGTACGTGATTGTCTTCTGTCGATTCTTCGGTCCACAGCCCTTTAAATCCTTCTCCGGTTGCGCCCTATCGGTCGTTCCCGGAGGCGGTCTTTTCAAACAGGTGGTTTCACATTCAACCTGTCGGTCGTTCCGCCCAAGGTCTCCTCAAACAAGCGCTATGATTGGTTCTGTCGGTCGTTCCGCCGGCGGCCAAATCAAACAAGTTTTTTGATTGGTTGCTCCGTCCTAAAGCTGGGACGAAACGTGAAGAAGAGTCCCGTGTTGGGACGTACCATCTAAAAGTTGGGGTTAGGGGTGTGTGTAGGATGCTGTTTCTGCCGTATGTATATGCTTGTATTCAAACAAAAACGAAATGTCTTGGAGAGGTAACGCATAACCTAGTGGTTTTCGACGTATTCATGGGAATTACAAAATGTATATTCAAAAGGTGGTTAAAACTCGCGTAAATGTAAAACGAGACGACACACCACACATCTACTTGGACGAACACACCAAATACACTCAATGGTGTACGACGGTAGAACTTGCTGTGTTTGCGCGAAGCCCACATTATTTTCCAGATTTCGTTGGATGTTTGGTCGACGCTGCATCAGAATTTTACGAATTTCATCTTTTCCTACATAACATTTGAGAACTATAGATTGAATGCCATCCTCACAATATGGCCCGGCAGCTAGTTTTACTCTCAAATTTTAGGTGAAAACCTCATTGATCATGTAAACTGTGTCCTCATTGGCATAGTCCGCATTTTATTGTGTACATCTCTACCTAAGCTACCTAAATGCTGTAGGAAATCATGAAAACCCGTATTTCCTTTCATGACTGATTTGCTAAAAAAATTCCAGGAAAATGCCTCCGCAAATTTAAAAAAGCTGCTAGGGAAACATGTCTTCACTACTTTTTC